AAACTTAAGACTTTAGTGTATAAAGTATCTATGATTAAGAGTTTAAGGTACAAACTATCTAAATTTAATATTTATAGTGCAAAATAAAAAAAGTGATATAAGTTCGGGAGTGCAAAGTGAAATTTTTCCATTTTAAAACCCTCAAAATGCATTTTGGTTTGAAGATAATTTATGATAACGCCACTTGAGTAGGGACCATTAGCAATTTGCCCGTCTTCACAGTTCACACTTCACAGTCCAAATAATTTGACCCTAACAGACAGTCAAACGTATACAGGCAGCGAAAAAGACATTTATGTCCATGTGAGAAGAAAACTGTCATTGACCATTCACATTCTCTCTTTTACTTCTTCTTTTCCCGGTCAGGTTTAGATTTGTTCTTCATACTCTTTCATTTGTACAATGATATATATGAATTTTGATAATATAATAACCCGCCAAAAAAGTTCTATAGTGATTGAAAATTAAACATACAGTAAAAATATTTCAAGTTCATATTTCTTTATTGTTGCTTATTTCCATTTCCTTTATCCTTACTAGAAATTTCATTTTATGCTTCAATACTTATTTGCAATTAATGGATCATGAAAATTTTGGTGAACAAATGCTGCATGATAAGAATTGTCAGTAAAATTTGGATTTATTTCAATTATTTTTGCTAAATGTAGGTCTTATAATTTTCTATGTTAATTTAGGATAACTAAAGTTTTTTCATCAAAAATCAAAATCCTATATTCAAGAGTGAAGAGAAATTTTTATCATATTATTTGTCCATATTTGTGTGTCGTAATAGGAATGGAGATAAAGAAAAAAGAAATCTAAACATGATAATGAACAAGAAGAAAAATAAAAAGAAAAATAATCATGCGACAATTTTGCTCTAATGAAGATGATTGGCTTTTACTTGGAGACTTATATTGACCTTTAGTCATAGTGAACAATGTATGTGTTCCATAAGCACAAAGGGCGAATTACTATAAGGAGAAGAGCTTGTCAATTGACTAATGACCCTACTAAATATGGTTTTAAGACCCAGTCTAGACCACTCGGTTGGGCCGAAAAAACCGCCAATAAATGAGTGGAATAAAATGTCACATAATTATTTCAAAACAGGAAAATTTCTGCAAGGAACTCATAATTTATATTCTATATAATATTTTTAATATACATATTATATCATTGGTCAATTACGGCAATTACGGCCAATTACTACTGGTCCAATAATTGAATCATTGACCCTTAATGGAATTAATCTTTTTGGTCAACGAACCGTTTAGGTTTCAAACCATACTATTGGAAAAAGAGGCTTAATTTGTAATTAAGCCTAAGGACTAACACAACCAATAATGGTCCAATTGGTACAAGGCTTGATTGTTTTAATGATCCTACTAGATGCGTTGTATGTGATGTTGATCAATTCTTAGTGAGTTTGTATAAGAAATTTCTGCTCATTCTAAGTTTACACCCTCTGCATATGAATTAAGGAAGTGTAAAATCAAAGAGACAACTGCAAGGGTTGAGTTACAAAACCTATGCTAGAAGCCTAGAACCAAGGAAGTCTGTAGTGTAAAACTTCGGCATATCCGAATTTGTCTGGTATTATGCATAAGACGATATGATTCGTATCAATATGATAAATTTCTACATTAGGGAGAGGGGGAGGACCTGAAAAGGTCCAAAGGTAATCCGAAAGGAACTAAATCATCATCGAATTGGACGGGTACACTACGCACCCGCCTGAATTTTTTAAAACAGAGTCATTTTTTAATGTGACGAATTGATAGGAGATAAAGTTTAAACCCTTGCCTTCCATCCCACCAAGCTTTAATGCATTGGTGATGTCTACCGGGCCAAAGGCTGGTGGTTCATTGGTTGCACACGTCTAAAGATGCACAAAGGCATATTGTTTTAGAGATACATGGAAAAGTTCTTCGCACGCATCAACAGAAAATGGCCATGTCGCAGTTAGTCAAAGATACGGGCAGCGTCCACAGCATCCAAAAAAACATTTTTTTTTAAAGTCCAAAATAGTAGTGGCAAGTGGTGGGAAGCAAAATTTAAACCCTTAACCTTTCAGCGCACCAAATTTTAAAGGCTATGATGGTGATCAACGGCCATTTAAGCTATTGGTTGATAGTACATGAAAGCAATGAATTTTGAATTTATAGTTCAACCCGTTCAACTGACTCAGTCAAAGGTTTGGCCTTTAAATTTATTTGTGGATTGAAAATCTCTGTAATATTGAATTAGAAATGGGAAGGTCGAAATCTTGATGGCTAATCGGTTCAACCATTTGGATTTTATTGGTATTTTGACCAATCGAACCGGTCTCCGGTTGAGTATGAAAGAATTTTTTTTCAAAGTCTTTTCTATGTTTTGATACACAATGAATTGATGTCATTATGTCCCGCTCTCAATTCAACCGATCAAATTGACCAGAACAGTGATTTTAAGAGGAGTAGCCTGCAAGTGTCCTACCAAAAAGATAAAAACCGAATGACTCGATACTTTTCTGAAAATTCTTTTTTAAAAAAGGTAATCTTAATAGTGTCAAGAATCAAAATATCTTTGCAAGTATTATCATGCATTAGTTCTGTGAAAAAGCTCACATATATTCCCATGTGGCCCCAACAGCAAGATGAATCCTCAGCAATGTAACTTTATTACGAAGTTTGTCTTTCTTTAAAAAATTAAAAATAATTTTTTTTCTTTTAATGATGGAGAACGTAGAGCAAGTTTTAATATGAGTGAATTTGGTCCAATAAACTTAGATGAGACTGCCAAAGTCAAGTGCGACATATCAATTTAGAACTGGAAATAATCACATACTCTATTTAGTTTTAAGAATATATTTTAAATACATTTTAGGTGAAATGACAACTATATATGCAGGAGATATATTAAATATGTGTGCGCATTTACATGTTAAATTAGGTGTAGTTTACATATATTAAAATTTATCCGAAAGTATCCATTAGAAAAATTCTTATGCTTGTAATTTTTAAAAATATAAAAAATTCAAACAAGTGGACAAGTAGACATATTCTACCTAAGTATTTTTTAGAAAAGAGAGAATTCGATCAAGATGGTCATGTCTTAAAACCAGTATCTAAACAGCTGTTTACTCTCCTTTCCCACTTCCTTGACTGTGGAATAGTCATTCAGTAAGCATTAAGACTAATCAATGCAGCGACATTAATTTAACAAATAGCCCACACGCCACCTCGGGAGTCAATACAGATAACGATTTTTTTTTTTTTTTTGGCCAAAAAGTCATCACTGACCAACTATTCTTCAATTCCCTGCAATTCAAAGTCCAGATTGTCTACTGTCTAGTCAATAAGTAGAAGAAGCAAAATGAAAGGAAGCGGCAAGAGCTCATCTCCTACTTATCAAAGATTAAGAAGCAGCAATGAAAGGGGAGATGGATGGCTCTTTTCGGAACGGCAGATTCCTTTACTGGTGGGAACAGATAGTGAAGCAATGGAGAGACTGACCGTCCATCTAAAGCTTATCAACCATCCTTCTTTAGCTTATTTACTTGATGAATCTGCAAACGAACTTGGTTATAATCAACAGGGATTGCTCAGAATTTGGTGTGATGTTGGAAGATTCCAGGAAATGCTTGATCGAATATCAACAAGGCTGTAGGGTTTGTACATGAGATCCCTATCAGTGTATGTAAACTCAATAGATGAAGTACAAGTTTTCATAAAAGTTTCTTCTAGCTGGACTGTCATGCATTGATTCCATTCTTGATTTGGTGAATCCCTTTTTCTAAATTCTGAAAATTTGCTGTCCAAATTGTTTATGGAAAGGGTTTTTCTCAAATTTCTTTCTTTTCTATGTAAATTAGTTCAATTTCAGTGATTCTTCCAGATATCCCTCGTTGAGTAAGTAGAGACACAGATTCATAGGCGCTGTTTCGAGATTAAAGACGCTTCTTTTTCGCCATAACCAATAACATAAGAAAAACTGATTAATCTGTTATATTTCCTTAGGTGAATGCTTCTGAGACTACTTTGAATAAAGGCCAATTTTCCTAAAACATGATAAGGATTTCCATGAAGATTGGAGGATAATTGTGTGCTAACCAGATATGTTATTCTTTTCTCCCGAAACAAAAAACTAATGATTGCATGACCAAATGTATTCATCTGGGTGCTCATTAGATATTATTTGACATAAACATTTACTCAGAAGATGAACTGTTTATCATTCAGACAAGATGTATTAGTATCATTTTCAGACAATATTAATGTATTTTATTTATTTATTTGACATCAAATATTATTGAGAGCAGACCACAGAAATAACCCACAAGTACAAGAACTTCTAATAACCAATACAACCAATTAACCAAGAACCTAACTTTATTGAAAATACTCAAAACTAGAGCACAACCAACCCAATTTTTTTTTTTTTTTTTAAAAAGCCAACCTATCTTGGAAACACTAACAACTACGTACAGCAAGCTTAGCTACTAACAAAATAATTTTAGTAACAATCTTCTAATTTAAGTCCAATTAATATTGATCTTCTTGTTCCTCTTAGACTTGTCCACTCTTTTAACCTACATAAGGGAGCATTTGGCATTATGAAAAGAGATGGCAAATGGGCGGAATTGGTAAGATTTTGCACGGGACTTAATTAGAACTGCAAAATATGGGCTATATACCCAAGTAGTCCCATATTAGTCATGGGACCAATATGGGTGGGGCTAAAACGGGTTAGACCCATTTTAATACCACCCAAATACCTAATAAATTCCATCATTAGTGAGTTTGTTTAATTTTGTAAAACTTTCTACCATCAAAGTCATGCATTCTCTTGAAATGTTTGATGATTCAGTAATATGCCTCATCAAATTTCTACTTTCTTTGAGTAAATGCTGCCTATGTTTCCTCCAGTAGATGATCTTATATATATACATACATACATATATTTATATATATATATATATATATGCGTGTGTGTGTAGTAGCTTAGACGGTTATTCAATGAAATTTGTGGATAAGAGGAAGCTGTCGTTTAGTGCTGATCATTTGCTATTTCATCAGCTTGATGTGGCAGATTCGTCTAGTGTTGCTTCCCTTGCTGAATTCATCAAGACTCAGTTTGGAAGGCTTGATATCTTGGTATGACAGAGCAACTCCAATTCCAATATCTGACTTATTGATTTTCTGTAAAACCAGATTCCCCTTTGGTGACAAGATGGGCATAAGGAGATAATTCACCCAATGCCAAATTTAGTGTCTTGTAAATTGTAACCACTCATGCATGTCTTTTGTTTTATCGATCAGGTGAATAATGCAGGAATTATTGGAGCTGATATAGACTCTGATGCTTTTAAAGCTGCGGTTGGAGCTGGTGCTAGTGAAGAGGTAAATTTGGATTTTACCTTAAAAATCATCTAGATTCTGGTCCTCTTTCAAATTTCCAAAATCTCCTGCTTTTTCCTTCTTCTGGAGATCATGTTCTTTATCCTGTTCTTTTCCTGTCTCATCTTGCTAGTTAAGATTCTCCGGAATTAGTTGCAATATATGATTTTTATAGGTTTCAATGTGTCATACACCTGCCCTTTTATTGGTGTCCTTTTAATACATGAACATTTTCCTTCGTTTTGCCCAATGCAGGCACAAGCTAAAGTTGACTGGAGCAGTACGATCAAAGAGACTTACGAATTGAAAGTACAATGCTTTCAAACAAACTATTATGGTACCAAAAGAATGATTGAAGCCATTGTTCCTCTTCTCCAATTATCTCAATCACCAAGAGTTGTCAACGTTTCCTCAGGCGCGGGAAAGCTAAAGGTAAATCAGCTTGTAATTGTATTTCTTCGAGTGTGTAGATTGTACATTGTTGTGCAGGATAGTAAACTTGGCACAAACTTAAAAGAACCAACAATGCTTCTTAACAGCATACAGAGGCCTTGGACTTAATTCTGGCTCCACGCATCGAGTTCTCTGATGACCTCAGGATTTTAACTCTGTTCTGAAGCCACCCTGATTCCCGATTTAAAATCTCTTATCTTCCAGACTTTGATAAACCACAGATAGGGGGATTTGACAATCCACAGGAAATTCAAATTTACGAAAACATTGAGCAAATGGACATCTAGAAGTCACGTTAGCTAGTGATTTCTATTTTCGGTTGACAAGTTACTCAATGAAGTATCCATGTCATAGGGAAAACTGTAAATCCCGTAAACAGCTTACATAAAGTTTTCTCAATTTGCTTCAGAATATACCCAGTGAATGGGCCAGAGGGATATTTACTGATGTCGACAACCTTACAGAAGAGAGTGTGGATGAGGTGCTCAATCAATACCTGAAAGACTTAAACGAAGGTTCCAAAGAAGCCAAAGGCTGGCCTTCATTCCTGTCTGCTTATACAGTCTCGAAAGCAGCCATGAATGCATACACAATTGTTGTCGCAAAGATGCATCCCTGCATCAAGATCAATAGTGTCTGTCCTGGTTTTGTCAAAACAGATATAAACTTCGAATCTGGCATATTGACTGTAGAAGAAGGTGCTGAAAGTGTTGTGAGGCTAGCTCTGCTGCCTGATGATGGTCCTTCTGGCTTGTTCTTCATTTGCGGTGAAGTATCACCTCTTGAATAGAGATAATCCTTCTCGGACAATGCTTTAGTAACGATAGTTATGGTAACGAAATAATTTTTTACCTGATATAATAAGTCGTTGCACTTTTAGCGATCATTTGATTACTTGATGGACCTATTCACCTAAATAGGATAACACTTAAAAATAAAAAAGTAAGTTTTTCATCTAAAATAGTAAGTTAGTCATAATAAATTAGCAACTTTTATACTTCAAAAGGTAAATTGGAATAACTATTAAATTTACTTTTTAAATAAATAAATTATTACTTTATATCACAAACTTACTTTTTAGAGAGTAAGTTTAATTCAAGTAATAATAAGTTATTATACATAAATAGTAATTCTTACTGATAACATGATAAATTTGATTAATAATCAAAACTTACTGATTTATGGGACACATGTACTATTTTGCTTTAAAACATATTTCAAACTAGTATTAGGAAATTTATTTAAAATAATGATAAGATGTTTTATTAATGATTAAAACTTAGTACCTTAGTTAGTAAGTACTCGTAATATGCCTGCATAAGACATGATTATATGTATAATTTAAAAAATTTTGTATTTATATATTTTAAAATACTATGAAAAATAGTTTGACTTTTCACATAATCTCGTAAATATGTAATAAAATTTTGTCATATTATAAGTTTTTAATCATTTTCAATTTTTGAAAAGTTTGAAGGTTTGGATAACAATAACGACAAATCTTCTTAGTTATATATAGAATATCACTTGTTTATATATCATAATTTTTATAATTCAATGCCTATGAATATAATAAGATGACAAAATTTTAATAAATTTACATCTAGGACACACGAAATAATAAGAGTTAAAATCCAAACAAAATGATAAATAATAAGAGATAAAACCCAAACAAAATGAGAAATAATATAACAATAAAAAATGACAAAATTAGTATAACAATTAATATAAGAAAATAAGTATGATCTGGACTTTTTTCCTTGGGAGATTGTTCATAAAAATGGGATCCAACAATTATAAATGAAAATCACATGCATATATAATCTATTGTATAATTTAAATTAAATTTAGTTCACGTATAAAATGGTCCTAAAATAATTAGTACACTATGATACAATGTTATTTTAACAACAAATTTTTTTTTTTGCTAAGAGTCTCAAATATCAATGACATATGTATGAGGGATATTTTACCATATTTGTATCTCACATCTAATCATTAAAGTTAATTTGAGGAAAAATATTTTTGACAATAGAATTATTTTGAATTTAGTTAACAATTTGAGATTTTATAAACAATAAAAGTGAAATATTTGGGAACTTAGTTGTTTATTTTCCCATAATTAAAAATTGCTATATTTTACCAATTGTTGCCATTGACTTTTCATTCTGTAGACTAATTGTTATCAATGCAAAATTAGTTTTATGAACAATAATTGAAGTTCCATGGATCCGAGGATTGGTATTCTATTGCTATTATTTTATATATAAATATTTAACCTAAGTATTAAAATAAATAATAGCTACTTAAAAAAAAAAGGAAATTGCTGCACAATTGATTGTGGTGTAAAATATTAGTATACAATTAACTAGAGCTTGAAATGGAATTAAATTTATTTAGTATTTTACTGCTAACAACTTTGACCCCATTTAATGGTTAAAGAAAAAAATAAAAGAGACATAGAGATTGAGATTGGTTCCTTAGTGTGAAAAAGAAAAGTTCCTCTAAAGTAATGCTGCGTGAAATTCTGGTTGCATATGAAATTAGAAATGTGATAACTTTGCAATTCATTTTTATTCATGATGAATTTTTTTTATTTTATATAGAATCGCAATTTTTTCGTTTAGCCCGAAAATATTCTTTTTTTGTCATATTGATGGCTTTTGCTTTTAAAATTATCTACATGTTGGTGGTTAGTATTATTGACAAGGTTAGAGGTCATGGAAAATGTTACTAATTTTAGGAGAAATTATGTATTGTAAAAATGGTTTAATAATTTACTAAGCATAACTACTGCAAACAAAAGGAAAAGATATTTGATTTGATTTTGCTTTGATTAGAAGAACTTGTACTAGTAATAAAGAAAATTTCAGTTCAACAATCAACGTACACATGATTACAGTAATTTTTTAGTCAATTAGACTAATATACGCCATAAAGTAGTAAGATTAAGTCATTTTTTAATTGATAATTTTAACAGTTTACATAATATTCATCTATAAAAAATTATGATTATTATAAAATACATTTTATAATAATTTACATACCATTTGCCAATAAAAAAAGAATTTGATAGAAAAAATATGGATACAAATCCATAATGTAAATGATACAAAGTATGTTTGAAAGTCACAGAACTTAACATATGGGTAATTTTACTATAATTTTCAAAGATTATGCTACATTAATAAAACTTTAATTTTTATACTTGTGACCTAGAAAATAAATTTATTAAAAATTTACCATTTTATTAAATTCATAGGCATTAATATATGAAAATTGTGACGTAAAAGTAAGTGCTATTTTATATACAACTCGAAAGATTTGTGGTTATTATAATACAACTTTAACTTTTATACTTGTGACCCAGTAAATAAATTTATTAAAACTTTACCATTTTATTAAATTCATAGGTATTAATATATGGAAATTGTGATGTATAGATAAGTGCAATTCTATATATAACTCAAAAGATTTGTTGTTATTGTCATCCAAACTTTCTAATCTTTTACAAATTCAAAAATAATTCAAAATTTATAATATGATTCTTACATATTTTATAAGGTCATATGCAAAAAAAAATATATTTTTCATAGTATATTTAAAATGCTTAAAACATATAACATTTATAAATGATATGTACAATTGTGTATCATACATTTGCATTACAAGTAATTACTAACTATAATACTAAGTTTCAATCATTAATAAAAAAAATCTTAGCATTATTTCAAATAAACTTCCTAATACTTGTTTTATATAAGTTTTTTAAGTAAAATAGTAAATTTATACCACAGACTAGTAGGTTTTGACCACTAACCAAATTTACTATTCTATCAACAATATTTTCTATTAATCTATAAAAACTTACTATTACTTGAACTAAACTTACTCTCCAAAAAGTAAGTTTTGGATATAGATTGAGTAGTAATTTATTTCAAAAAAAAAAAGTAAGTTCCATATTTATTCCAATTTTCTTTTTGAAACATAAAAGTTACTAATTTATCGAGTTAACTTACTATTTTTTATGTAAAACTTACTAACCAAATTTTAGGTACTATCTTATTTAGATGACCAGTATAATAGGTAATCAAATGGTCGCTAAAAGTGTTTTTACCTATTATATCAGGTAAAAACAGTTTCGTTATCATAACGATCGTTACTTCAGACTTTTCCATCCTTCTCATCTCTTTGCATTCATGTGTAGATCACTAGATCATCCCGCGCCGGACCATAGATCTATGCAACATTGTTGTGAGGGCCCGTATTTTTTTTAATTGCACGTTTTCTGCATTTTCTTTATTAGAAAATTTTTCTAGATCAATTTTATGAGTAAATATAGTTTTTAAATGATTTTTCTAGTATCGGTTAGTTTTTGAGAAATTAAGAGCGTATATCGGACGTGGGACCCGCTAGTGTGGAAAATTTGGAAAAATTCGGCCAGTTCAGTTAAGTTTTGGATACTGGGTTTAGTTTACCGGGTGTTATGAGATATTTAGAGGTTGCCAAGTGGATTGGTGTAAGAGAGACAAAAAGTTAGGCAAGCAATTAATGAAGAGGACATGTGTCACTTGAGGATTTATTCTTACCTTTTTGACCTTTTGACCACTATTCATGCCTTTAACATTTAAACCAAAATTGACCCAAAATTCTTCTTATTTTGAAGCTCTTGGCCGAATTTCTTGCTAGGAACAAAGGAAAGAAAACTCTCTCAATTTTCAAGCTCCAATCTTGCCCAATTTTTCAATTCAACCGTTTAATCTTCAAATTTTTCCATAGAACTTCTTAGTTTGGTGATATTGAGGTTGGTTGTGGCGTTGTTTGGAAGAAATTGGTGCTAAGTTGCTTACTTTCTTGAGCTTGCAAGGTGAGTAACTAGGGAATTCTTTCTTTGATCTTGCTAATGTCAAATTAATGGTTTATGTTGGTTATCGATGTGATTTTATGGAAGAATTGGCACATGAATGCATGAATTTCCAGATTAGGGTTCCATTTTTCCCCTTTCTGCCCGTTTCTGTTTGACCAGGTTAGAAGCCGAATTGGCCTTAGCACAAAACATGAAAGTTGTAGAAAATGATGTTTTCTAGTTGCCTGTAAATTTTCAGCCCAATTCGAGCTCGGGAGCCTGGTGAATGAATGAATGAACGAATGAATGAATGAGGGTTTTACTTATATATAAATGTATTTTCAAATGATTGAAGGTATAAGGGAACGAAAGGAGAATGGATAAACGAATGAATGAACGAATGGCTCCTTGTGAGCACGTATCCTTTTAATGAAGGTGTTTATCGCTTTCTTTTGTATTTGAATTATTGGTAACATGTAATGAATGCATTGAACTTCTTGTTGCCTATGTGTTCGGAACCTCACTGAACTTATAACTCACCCCTTTAGTTTGTTTTCCTTAACAGGGGAAGGCGAGCAAGGACGAGAGCCGGTATAGACTAGCTGGGTCTAGCCCTTGGTTTTCTTTTGTCATGGTTCTAGCCCTAGTGCTTGGCACGGGATGGTTGTATAGTGATTTGAGAACCTCTGTATATTTGACGGTTGTACTTCTTCTTGAGATATTATTGTATATACGTTTTGTTTTAAGTTGGATCGTGGTTAGATGTTCTTATGGTTGATTGAAGTGATCGACTGAGTCCCGGCGAGAGTTGGGCAGGCAGTCCGCCGAACCCTTTGGTTCATCTTAGGGGAAAGTGGGGCTGTCACAATTGTGATATTTTTCATGCATCTTAGACTACAAAATCACCAAAGATCAATGTTTTGAATCCTTTGTTTTAATGAATA